ACACACACACACACACACACACACACACACACACACACACACACACAAAGCACAAATTCATCAGTTAGGTCTCAAAAGTAATCATCAAGTCAGCGCCTCAGACAAAATTTAAACTCAGCAGGACGAATCCTTCAGAATAAAAGACCAACAGTATAACATTTTTCAGGAGGGTTGACTGATTCAATATTTATGAAAAATAAACACCAGAACAAAGTTTATTAATGCCTTGGATGGCTCACATGTATTGTTCCGCTGGCTTTCACAGACCTGATACAATATTGTAATGCATTTTACATATCTAACCATTTTATTTTTAAATATTGCATAACTTATCCACTTTTTCAAGTTAGATACAAGGCCAGATTAATAATCTTTTCTTAGTGGTAATTTTCAGGTATTTTTCAGCATCCTAAAGTAAGATAGGACTGCTCTCCTGTGGCTGACGTGCTGAACTGCAGCGTAAAATGCAGCTTCTGGACAAAAGGACTGGGTTCTCTGGTGTGTCACGTAATGTTTGAATTGTGAAAGCAGCCAGTGCTCCTCAGCACTGAAAGATAGACTTACCAAGAAACTATGCATGCTGTGAATGCATGGCAGCTTTGTCAAAAAACTTCAGAGATGAACTTCAAACCCTGTTTTCCAAAACGTAAGCTAGCAAAACTGTGGAACATTGAAATAGTCCCTTCAGCAACAGAAAATAAATCTGGGACGATGATAAAATTTATTGCAGCAAGTTGATGCTCTTTTTGCTGCATTTTGAATCAAACCCTCTGTTTGTTGACTAAACCCTCTTTCTCTCCTTTTCTGTGTGCAGGTGTGGTCTCTGTGAAGGACCCGGTTCCCTTGTCTCCCCTGGAAACTTCAGCTGCTCCTGCAGACTCGGAGCAGCTCAGTGCAAAAAGAGAAAACTCCAGTTTGAGCAATGACTTGCAGTCTCACTACGTTTCCATGGAAACCTCAAATTTCCAACCTCAAACGCCCAAAGTTGAAGAGAGACTTGAGGAAGATGACGAGGCGCTCACCATTTCTGAGCTTTCCTACAGGTCTTCATTAAGCTTTTCAAATTTGTACGAAAAAAGTTTTCATTTTTGAAATCTTCTACATCCTTTGTATAATGAAGTTTATTTAGTTTGGCTGTCAGTTGCTCCAATTTAAACCTTAGATGTTTAAATGAGTTACGTCTGCTTATTTTCATCAAGTTTGTTCATCGTTTGCTGTTTTGAGGAAAACTTTGTGAGGTATTTTAAAAGCAGAATAGATCCAGATTCATTCTTGATGGCAGCATCATACCTTTGACCCAGTTGTGGCAAATTCCAGATGTTTCTTAGATCAAAGCTTATTTGATTGCAGTTAAAGAATGTGTCCTCTGTATATCTGTTGGAGAAAAAATATTCTCGCTTTATCTCACTTACTCAAAAGGAGACATGCTCAACAGAAAACTTTTAACCAGTTTTTACTTGCTGCTTTTCAGATTTTTTTACTGCAGATTTTCAGGACAGGTCACACAGAAATACAGGAAGTGCACACATGAAGCCCAGGCACAAGAATCTGTCACGGGCAGTGTGTGCAGCTTATTTTTATGCCTTATCAGTTCAGCTGAGCTCACAGACTTGGAGTGCCAGCTGCATGCTGTAGCCTCTCAACTCCTCGTCCAGCTCTCTCTGCTAAACCAAACATATGGTTCATGGGCAGAGCTATTCTCAGCCACAGTAGTTAAACACATTGACCAAAAATTTCCTAACATTGTCTTCTCTCCTCTGCAGCCCCTGTGTCAGCATGCTTCCCACTCCAGTGGATGACAGTCAAGGAGGCACCAGCTTGCTCTTCTGTTCCCCGGTCCAGAGTCCCGCCCGGCTGCTAAGAGAGCTCCATGAAGACCCTGACATCCAGGCCCAGCTGGAGGCTGAGCGGGAGCGAGACCGTGCCTGTGAACGCGCCCGCCTGGCTGCGGCAGGTCGAATGTGTGGAGCCTGGACCAGCAGCCTGCGCCTGCTGTCGTCCAATGAGAGGGTCAACACCTGTGTGCTCGGCGTGGCCCGGCTGGTTGCCGTGGTAATGGGTGTCCTGCTTATCACTGTGCCCACGCTGCTGCTGCTGCTGGAGTCGGACATCGACGTGTCGTTCCTCCACGAGATCCGGCAGACCCCAGAGTTTGAGCAGTTCCACTACGAATATTACTGCCCGCTTCGGCGCTGGATTCTGTGCAAGATCAGCATGGCCATGGAGAACCTGTGGTCCGACTGAGGGAGATGAGGAGCAGAGGAGAGCCATGATCAAAAGAGTGAAAATGTCTGTCTTAACTTGTGGTTTATGATCTCCTGTCTTAACATGTGGGCTTTCTTTGCAATATGACTCGCAGAACTGTAGCAAGCAAGGCAGTTCTGCCTAAGTGACACAGAATCAAGTATAATTATTTTACCTCTTTGGCAGGATTTACTTTATGAATCAAATAATAAAAAAAGAAACTGGAAAATATTTTTTTCTGTAATCACTTGTTAAGATAGACACTTTTGACAGGACTTTGCAAAGAAAGAAGACATGATCAAGAGAAACTGATGGGAAAAAAATAAATGAGAAAAAAAAAAAAAAAAGACAGAAGTGGTTGGTATTATTTTACTGGGTCTTTTGTTGGTTCGCTCCTGATGCTGACGAGCAGAAATTCTGATTGGCTGTCATCCTGAGAGCGGCTCATCTGATTGGTTAACGAGCATGTCAGTCATGACGGAGCGAGAACACAAAGAGAATATATTTACCAGTAAAATGCCACACCGCTCTGTATATATATTTAAAAAATGAGCAACAATATCAAATATTGCTATGTTAAATAAGTTTTTAATGTTTTGTACATTTTTATGTGATCCAGATCTTTCAGGAATTTTTCAGTCAGAAGATCTACTTTGAGTTTATTTTCAAAATTGAGAGTTTACAAAAGATATTTAAAAAAAAAAATGGCTACTTTGATGCTGTTTATCAGGTTGATGGTTGCAGAAAAACTTAAAGTATTTTTTTAAGGCTACCATCAACTTTTGTTGTTTTGGTGGAAACCTGATTTTAGAAGTTACAGCACAAATCTTCATCTTTTCAGATTATTTGATGTCATTTTAGAAACCACCGGATGACCAGAAAGAAACTGGTTTGTGTCACTAAATTGTGTGTTTTGCTGGATTTCTGAATGCTTTATGAACTGTGTTAGCTAAATGTACATGGGGTTTTAACAAAACAACTGACAGAGGAAAGAGACCATATGGAAACATCAATGGAAACTGTGAACTTGAAGCTGGTTGTTTCGATGATTAAAGGTTCAAGAGGAGCTCCTTTTCAGAAATTAAAGAAAATGGGATATTGCAAAAAAAGTTGTACTTTCAATTACACAGTGAGTCCATGACACATAAAGAAACAAGTGAGGCGTTTACATGTAATCAATCCACTCAAGTAAGCAAGAAGCTAATGCAGAAGTTGTTAAAGTGATAGTTCACTTATTTAAAAGTGGGGTTCTTTGAAAAGGTTTTTAATAAGCAGCTTCCAAACTGTCATAACAATTAATGTCAACACTATTCTGCCAACACTGATGATGAATTCAGTTTTACATATACCTGTATTACATAGAATTATGCTATTTAAAAGTGCAAGTAGCTAGCTGTACCTCCTATGCAATTTGGAGCACTTCCTGCACGACCTTATTAATATGTATGGCAGAAAAAAACATGTAATGTCAAACTGACTGTGTAAAGGTTGATAAATGAGTGTTTGCCATTTTTGTTTTGGTCCCATTCGGATTGGCCATAAACTTTTTAGTCTAGTCAAAAATATTCCACATTTCCCCATACTGAGGGTGTTCAAAGTGACATCGACAACAGGTAAGATAATAACTGGTAACATACCTTTTTTGTGGAACCAGGCTTGAAAATATCTGAACTATCTCTTTTTGACCAGTTAGTTTCCTCATCCCAGACAAAAAATCAAAATGATTTGTTGCCATTTATCCAAAGTATTTATGGAAATGTTGTTTCACCTTTACTGCTGTTCTGGTTGAGGTTTCCAAAAGTGTTTTATGCAGATGTGCAAAGGGATGCCAGATGTTTACATTGATTCAACGCTTGGAGTAAAGTAAGTGTTTTAGTTGGCACTTTGGTTGACGCACAGTGACTGTTAATAGAAGCAAGGAAGTCATTTCAAAAAGTTTTCTGTGACTTTTGGAAACCTACAGTCATCATCAGCACATTTTTTGTTTAGCATAGATTCAGTTAACGTGTCTGTGAACGAAATAAAGATATTTAGTGATAATAATAACTTCAGATCCTACACGTTAAGAGTTGCTGTGTTCAAAAAGTACTTTTTTCAATGAACTTCTCAGGAAAGATGATAGCAATTTCAGTTCATAATAAAAATGTCTAAAAAGTACAAAACAAATTATCTACCAACGACATACCACATTTAGCTTACCCATAACCATCACATTATGCTTTTATGAATATTTTATGTAAAGTCAAACACATACAGTAAATATGATTGCAGCCTGCCTGCTTAGTTTTATTATATTATATGCATCCATGACATTTAGGAATATTGCAAACTCATATTTATGGCCAGTAATAGAGCCAGTATTGGCCAGTCTCTTTTAGTACTCACAGAGGCTCTTTGCGTGTCATGTAACACATAGACTTGATGCATTTACCTTTATGCATATAGAAAATATGCATTAACAACAAAAACATACTTGTTTAAGACAAAGCATTTATTTTCTTACTACAGCACATGCACTGACTTTCAAAGGTGAAACCAAGCAAAGGGCCAAATCACTACAACTGCAATGTTAGCTTTTATCAGCCCAGATCTGAGTTATGTGTTCCCTTTTGACGTGTATGGTACTGCTAAATTATTCCCATTGTCTCACAAAACTTTGGGTTATGTATTTCTGTCTTTAAATGTTCATCTTCTTGTATGCAGACACTAAAATGTGGGGTCAAACTCTGCAGATTGAAAAAAAACGTCTCTGTAAAGGCATTGTGTTAACACAGCTATAAAGTTTGTAACTGGTTTTGGTCTTTGACTTTTTGTGCTTCATCTTCCTCCAAGTAAACAGAAGAATCTTTCTTCTGGCTTCATAATCCCTCCATGCAACTTGCATGCCCTCATCTATAAACTGTGTTTAGCTGTGAAACAAACAAACTTAAAAAAACTACTGGCTGGATATTTTCTATTTTCTTTACGTTGCGTGTCTTGTGTGTAAAGCAATCTTGTTACAGGCTTGGCTGTCTCAACCATGTTAGACAAATGCATGTTTTTTTGTGCTTTTGCAATAGTGGGGGGGGGAAATAGCCAAGGTATTCATGGCTTTTTCTCACTTAAAACAAGGCTTTCACTAAGGCTAACTGGGCTTCCACGCAGTTTATCAGCTTATGTCTTGTTCAAAAGAATTGGTTTCTTGAACCGTGCGATCATTTAGCCTAAAAAAGCAGCTCTATATTACTTGACTGGTTAGCATCATGCTATTGTTATGTGTTTGTGAGCCATTGAAGCTAAATGTTAGCGCGAACAGAGCATGTTAACTTAACTGTCATAAACAGGGCTGGGATTCATACACTTTTAGTTTAAAAAAATAAAACATTAAACACAGTTTTATTTACCACACTGGTAACTGAGTGTTGAAAATATTCAGCTTGTTAAACCAAATGTCCAACCTACAAGTCAAAGTTTAAGAAACTAAACATTAGCTCATCGCTAACAGCAAAAAGGCCTTTTGGTTCTGAGTTAAACAAATCACGGTCAATCTGACAAAAACTGTAGAATTATACGAGTTTATGGCTCATTTATTAGTTTAGTTACTAAACTAGTTACTACTAGTAACTAGTAGTTACTTTAGTAAGATTTATTTAGAGTTTTAGCTCTGCCTTGAGCAAATTTATCCGAGATCCTGTGTTTGACAAGCAGCAAACTGTGGTCTAAAAGTTCAGCTTTGGTTGTATTTAAATTGTGATCTAAATTAAATAAATGTAAAGAAACAAAACTCACACACTTTATGATGTCATGTATCAGTTATTATTGCTGTTTAACAAGTTTCCTAAAGGACTCAAGCAGTTGTAAACCTTAAATAGAATGATGCAATGTTAAATCAAACATACAAGAAAATAAAAATGAACACCAAGAATATCCATGTTACTGTTTTTCATTCATTTATTCAATATTTTTAATATTTGAACTCAGGTCTAATGTAGGCAAAAATGCTGAACAATAAGTAAAAATTAAATAAAAGTATGTCAGTTATTTCAGTGTCGTGGGCTTGTAGTAGCAGACCCTGCATGATCCCTGTGGTGTTTTTAAACAGATTGTTTTGTTTTCAGTTTATTCGATTAGTTCTTTCTTTCCTTCTTTTAGTCTTTTTACATAAGCCTCTCTGGAAGCTCCTATAAATAAAACGGGGAAAAAATGATTAAAAAGAGACAACCAAGCCTTATCTTAGTGAAGTAAACATTTTGACTGTTTGTATGTTGTAAAAATTAAAATGGGTTGTTTTATATGTTAATACTGACACAATAAAGATCCTCAATAATCATGGTTATTAATGAGTGGGATATATCTGATGTACATTTCTCAGATTTGGTTTTGTCTCCCTCATGTGCTAAGAAGTAGATGCTGCAGCGGCTTTTTATATTTTGATGACGTTTGTGCAAGCCACAGATTTATTTGATACAGTAAGTGCTCAAAAGTTTACTTTGAGAGCCAAAAATTCTTAATTATGCAATCAGTAATAATGTGATTTCATGAAGATAAAAAGTTATTATCTATTGTAGGTTCAGGCTTTGTCATGTTACAAAGAGGAAGAGAAGACATGTCTTGCAATAATGTTTCATTTTTAACTGGAACCAGCTATATAATTTTAAGAAAAAATGAAGTAAGTCAGATACTTGACCATTCAAAAAGAGGTTAAATAAATGCACTAAATTATGTAAAGGATCAAAAAAGAATTACACAGAAGCTAAATGAGTTGACAAGAGCAAAGATTATTTGTTAATGTCTTCTTGTGCTTTTTCTAATGCTTTAAGTGGTGATTAAGTTAAGATCGAATGTTTAAGTTAAGATTTTAAGTATTTATGAAACATAACAACCAGAAAATTACACAAGCAAAATGTAAGTTTAAAACAATATTACCTCCAGGGGTGTCAAACTCACTTACAAATGGGAACCAAAATTAAAACGTATTTCAAACTAAGGACCAGTTTCAGAATCTACATTAAGTCAAGTCAGATACCTGACATCTTTTCATGGTTGCATGTTCCTCAGCAAGAGTTTGATTGGTCTCATTTGACATTTTCTGTTACACTTTTGACATCATAATCAAAGATAACTGAAAAAAATTAAAGTGATAAAAGTATTTTTACGTTTAAAATATCATCTTGGGGGCCAGAAAAGTTGTTAACGAGGACCACATTTGGCCTCCGGGCCTTGAATTTGACACATGTGACCTAAACAAAACAAACAAACAAAGAATTACAAAGAATATTAAAAATTCCGAAGTGAAATACTTCTCAAAATAGTTTGATTTATCTAAAATCCTGCATGTATTGGAGGTAAATTAAATCCCCAGTTCAACAAGTTCTTGGTTTTTGATCAACTAGAATCACTTATCTTCATGTCATGTTCTTAAACCATGAATAATTACTGAACAATCTTGAATCATATCCTCCAAGTTCTTATTTTTTGTTATTTGTATGTTGATTGTTTTTATTATTGTTGTTGTCAATTCTAATTTAGATTTAGAATATTTTGTAATACAATTTTAAAGGACAACATTTGGGCCTTCTTGTTCTTTTAATATTTATTGATTATGGTAGAGAGTTATTAGACAAATTCCTTTCAGTGGTTGAGTACAGATTAACATAAAAGGA